CGATGAGGGTTATCTCTGATTGAGGGTGATGGGTGTGGGTGAGGAGGGTTATCGATCAGAATGGGCATAATCGGCGTATAGGGCATAATAAGTATGATTATGCGTTATATGTCCATTATGCCCATTATGCCCTATATGCCCATTATGCCTTATATGCCTGATCTCATAAAAGCCTGTAGTATCTTTACTATGTATTTTCACGGATTGCAGTTTCCTTATTCCATGTTTGTGTCAAAAATGGATTTCCCGGAAAACGCTATAACGCATCAACTCACCTTTTTATGTATTATATCGTCCTATACCACTATATAGGGAAAGTATATCTAAAGCTCGCTTGATGATCTTTGAAAGTTTTGCAAAATCAGTTTTCCGAAAACGCTATAACACATCAAATCTAACTAAACAAAAGCCATAAAGTATACCAAATTTCAGCGTATTTCAAATTTTAAAAAAGCTTACAAAGGATTGCGCGCTGACAGCTTATTTCATGTTATATTAACAAATATTGCAAAAGTCATGTATATCTAGTTAAACAATTTGTAAAGCCATACGTAATAACAATGTATTTTCTTCGATATGATCAATTATATTTTGACATATTTAGAAAACTTGTTAATAAAACCCACCTGTAATAATACATGATTTTGAGATATAATCAACAGAAAATTCTGGAAGATTAATTGAGCTTCTACAATATTAAACTATATATAAACTCTTATTAAATCTTTATAACATTCAAAAATATTTCATCAAAGAAAGTGTTTATATACTGTTAGTTATTTTATTGAATAATGTACAACATTTATGTTTTCTTTCTTATTTTCAATTATGAAACATCAGGTTTGTTATTTTGAAACGAATTTCTCTTTTTTTACATAGAAGCAAATGTTTTCGTTTAAAGTTTGGTTTTACTTTTATAATAAATAGTTGAAAGTATGGATTTATCAAAATTTCTATCTTATCTATGATTTTAGAATACGAAAATTCTACAGAATTAAATGAGATTATGAAATAATATTCAGATGAACACATTGAATTTTTAGAAAAAATCAAAGTTAATACGATTATTCAGTGTTCAGAACGAGACTGATCGACTTCGTCTCTAGTATATTCCTAATCTTTGTATGAGTTTCTTTTTCGAAAAATTATGTTTCCAAAGATAAAAGTGTCATTTAACATTTTGTATACACATTATTTAGCTGTTTCATTCAATCAACCAAATTTATCTTCAGTAGCAACTTGGGATCGTAATGGAATAACATTTGCCAACACATCGATTATTGGTTGGTATCCCAAGGATATTTTCATTGATACAAAAAATTCAATTTATGTCATTAGTGACGACAAGAAACAAATTTTAATATGGCATAACAACAGTATTAATCCAACACAAAATATTTCAGCCAACTTCCAATTTCTTTCATCTATATTCGTAACATCGAATGGTGATATTTATATTAGTGCAAGTCATCCCACACATCGTGTAATGAGATGGATATCGGAAACAAATACTTTCGCCATTGTTATGAATGTAGCAAGGACGTGTTTCGGCATCTTTATCGATATCAACGACAATCTATACTGTTCAAGCAGTAATACACATTCTGTGATAAAAAAAAACTTGAACAGTCCTTCAACAGATGAGATAGTTGTTGCTGGAATAAATGTCAGGGGATCTGCTTCGAATCAGCTTGATTCTCCCGCTGGAACCTTTGTTGATGTTAACTTTGATTTATTTGTAGCAGATCATTGGAATGATCGAATTCAATTATTTCCATTTGGAGAAACAAATGGCATCACTGTTGCTGGTCGGCAATCGGCACGTCGAACTATTAAACTCAATGGGCCTACTGAAATTACATTGGATGCCGCGAAATATTTATTTATTGTAGATCACAAGGGACGACGAATTGTTGGAGAAGGACCATATGGTTTTCGATGTTTAATTGGATGTTATAGATATGATTCTCGATCGAATGAACTATTTCTGAAGTCAATGAGTTTTGATAGTTATGGAAATATATTTGTTGTTGATACCAAAAATCATCGCATTATGAAATTTCAACTGATGAACATCTCTTCTGGTGAGTAGAGCAAAAATAATAACAACTAAATAGAGAAAAATTCATCAGTAAATGGAATATAAAATAAGGCCTTGTAAAAAAATATCATAATTTCATAATATTCAAAAATAATTATTCCTTCGACTGTAAGAAAGGTCATATGAAATAAATAGTTTGTCTGTCTGTCTCTTTGCACGTTCTAAGGCCAAACACATATTTTCCTAAGGCGCTTTTTTGGGCTATGCATACGTCTTCAAGTCGTGTATCTGCGCATCATCCACTGTTCTTATGCTGCCCATTTTTTGCGGTGCCCACGAGTATTCCGATCGCGCAACTTTGCGGTACCCTTGGGCTTCTATATAGATCGTTTTACCGGTAACCAAGAAAACTCATGTCACCCACTGTACCTATGCTGATGGGTCCATGTGACGTATTGTTCTTGCACTTCCTAAATCTTTATCTGGCGCATTTTGAGAGTACCCATGGGTCCTCATGCCACGTAGTTGGTGAGTACTAGGGGTGTTACTTTATCTTTATTTTATAAAGAATAAATATTTTCTTTATTTTTTTTCCTTTATTTTTAAAGTAAAGAAAATCTTTATTCTTTATAAAATAAAGATAAAGAAAAATCTTTACCTTTCAAATAAAGTTAAAATAAAGAATAAAGAATTTTTTCACAATTTTTGACAAAACACAATAAATGTTTTGATATTCACAAATTAAATTAACAGGGAGTTATTTCGTGAGACAGGATGTTACACTTTACCTAAGATTAGGTTCATTTTCTGACTTAACATACAATCTCACACTTGGCTTAAAAACTAGGTATGTCACTTTTTCTTTACTTTTCTTTAACTTTATTTTATAAAGAATAAAGATAATCTTTACTTTAAAAATAAAGTAAAGATAAAGTAACACCCCTAGTGAGTACACAGCAGTCATTGAGTCGCATTTTATTCCAAAAATCATGGTTTAATTTTGGACAACACTTGAATTGGTTCTTCTTAAGGAGCTAGACTAGTGTGTATTATCCTTAAGCCAGAAAACTAATTCTTTGCTATGCAGTCGAGGGTCAAGTAAGTCGCAATGATGAACGTTACTTGTTGAAAAAGATAAGCAAAAATAGATATCTATTTATTTGAGTCTCATCATAATGTTTAAAAAGAGATCAATATGAAACTAGCACCAAGAACTTAGACAAACTCTAACCTCTGAATGATACGTTACCCGGAACACAATGTATCATTTATGAAATGAAACATATTTAAATTCTTAGTCTTAGCTTTACACCGACAACATATCCTAACATGCACGTCTAAGACAGAATAACTAACACTATGTAACGATCCTAATCCACTCGTTTTTCTACAGTTCCTAATGTAAAACCTTTTTCTATTACTTCTGCTATAAAATAGATGTTTCTTCTTCCAGGTCACATTTCAAGTCTTAGGTCCCTGATTAAGGTTACATCTATTGCGCATATACGCACGTTATAACGATAAAGCTTGAAAGTTCAGCGAAAACTGTATCCGAATTCGTATTCCACCTGAGTGAAGTTTCATCCAAGCAGGCTGTCCCTATTTCTGGTATGTGTCCTCAACCGTTTTCACCCTGCTACTGGATCCAGGGAACTATCATAGCAACCAGATAAGGATCATAAATGAGTACGAATAAAAATTCATTCAGTACCCTCGAGATGCATCTCTCGAAATTTGATGTCACCGTTTGCGGTAATTTAATACTTGAGAGAAAAGTTTTTATCCATTTAAATAATCCTCGAATCTTCTTCTCGTCAACTGAAAAATAAAAATAAAAATAAGTGTTCTAAACAAACTTTCATTTCAATAATGATCATCAATCAATTAAATAAAAAATAATTCTATTTCAACATGTGTTTTAATTGTTACAATTCTTACGGTACATTGAAAAACTCTTTTCACATTATATATTTTAGCTGTTTCCTATAATCAACCAAAATTTTGTAACACAGCAATTTGGGATCGTGATGGAACAACGTTTGCCAACGAATCTACTTTTGGTGGGACTCTCATGAATGTTTTCATTCATAGAAATAATTCAATTTATGTCGTTAGCATCGGCAAGGACCAAATTTTAGTATGGCATAACAATAGTGTCAATCCAACACAAACTATTTCAACCAACTTCTCATCATCTGTTCCCGCTCTATTCGTAACATCGAATCGTGATATTTATATTATTGCAGTATATCCCTCATATGATATAATGAGATGGATATCGGAAACAAATACTTTTACCATTGTAAAGAATGCACCAAGGGGGTGTAGCGACATCTTTATCGATATCAACGACAATCTGTACTGTTCAAAGAGTGGTACACATTCTGTGATAAAAAAAAACTTGAACAGTCCTTCAACAGATGAGATAGTTGTTGCTGGAATAAATGTCAGGGGATCTGCTTCGAATCAGCTTGATTCTCCCGCTGGAATCTTTGTTGATGTTAACTTTGATTTATTTGTAGCAGATTATAAGAATGATCGAATTCAATTATTTCCATTTGGACAATCAAATGGCATCACAGNAAGAGTGGTACACATTATGTGATAAAAAAAAACTTGAACAGTCCTTCAACAGATGAGATAGTTGTTGCTGGAATAAATGTCAGGGGATCTGCTTCGAATCAGCTTGATTCTCCCGCTGGAATCTTTGTTGATGTTAACTTTGATTTATTTGTAGCAGATTATAAGAATGATCGAATTCAATTATTTCCATTTGGACAATCAAATGGCATCACAGTCGCTGGTTGGCGATCGGTATATTCAACCATTGAACTCAATGGGCCTTCTGGAATCACATTGGATGCCGCGAAATATTTATTTATTGTAGATTCATTTAATAAGCGAATTGTTGGAGAAGGACCATATGGTTTTCGATGTATAATTGAATGTTATGGATGTGGTTTCCCATTTTCAATGAGTTTTGATAGTTTTGGAAATATATTTGTTGTTGGTATTCAAAATAGTCGCATTATTAAATATCAAGTAGAAAATTTTTGTGGTGAGTTATATTGAAACTTCTATTATGAAATATTTGACTCGGTAGTGAAAAACAAGTATTCTGAAAGTAACTATAAGAAAAAAAGATAAAGAAAACAAAAAAAAATCATAATCGAAGCTTTCAACATTCAAGATATTGATAAAATTTCTTTTATTGTGAGGACTTTATCGAACGTTTTCAGTTTAATTGAATGTGAAGAAAAGTTGAGTTATGAATAAACTAAATAATTAGAATAATATCTTGATTTCATGCATTATTTTTAAAAAGAAACATCTTAATTAAGATTATATTTTTTATTAATGGTGAAAACACGAATAAGATGAATATGAAGCTTCAGATGATTGATTTTTCTTTTTTAAGTTTCACCACAAGAAAACTAAAAAATACATTTAAAGATTTTGTGTAAATACCGTGAAACCTCTTATAGCGGACACTTTTAAAAAGCCCCGATAGCGTCTATTGAAAAGAAATTTCACTGTAAACTAGACCTGCGACAGTTCAAGTTCAATAGTTACTAGAAACTGAGAACTTGAAATGCACGACAGTTCTAATTCAAAAGAACTGTGATGGCAAATAAGTTCCTACTGAAAGAACTCGAAATGAACTTGTAGTTTGAAAACTCTCCTATCGTGATATTTATGTTCTTTATTGGATCCTTGATGCGTTTGATATTGAAGAGATATGCATGATCTAATAAGAATTTGCTAGATCGTCGACTTAAACGTTGTTCGATAGTCTCTGTATGTCTGATTCTTTGCGATTAACAATATGGGACTCGTTTCCTTTGGTAGAATCACGTTTGAGTCGACGATCTAGCAGATTCTTATTAGATCATGCATATCTCTTCAATATCAAGCGCATCAAGGATCCAATAAAGAACATAAATATCACAATAGGAGAGTTTTCAAACTACAAGTTCATTTCGAGTTCTTTCAGTAGGAACTTATTTGCCATCACAGTTCTTTTGAACTAGAACCGTCGAAGAGTTACAGTTCTTTTGAATTAGAACTGCTTAAAAGTTCTAGTTCTATGAACTAAACTGGAACTGTCGTAGGCCTACTGTAAACTGACTTTTGTCTTTCGAAGAATATCAAAAAGAGAAATATTCTAAGTTTAATTTATAATTTATCTTAAAAGTTTATCAATATAGTTTTAATACATTTTGCGAGAAATATTCTACATTTCATTTTGGAGTCTAAAGATATCAAATCGAGAACAAATAATTGACCTGAAAATTACGACAGGAATGCTCATGGTGGTGCGATAGATATTATGAATTGCTTTGTTTTTTGAAAATTCATGAATTTTAGACATTATTTTTATACTATAGAGTACATTCTACTAAAAGACTTGATGAATTTATTCGATTCGTAGCAGTAGATTCATTTTCAATAAATTCGAATTTCGAAAAACTATAGATTTTCAAAAGAAACATTGCGACCAAGAGAGAAAGTGTAGGCTACAGAGCACCTAAGTCATTCGGAAGGTACTGCATCGATGGAACCGGTACCGGTAACCGGCCGGTCCGGTATCGGTCTAAAGTTTAGACCGGTATGTCTACCGGTTTTTTCACTGATCTAAATTTTCCATTCTCCGGCTTTTATCATACAGACATGTTTTACGTTGTTATTGGTTACTAATATATCGCATTTGAAGAAACTATATGAAACGAAAATGATATTTCAGAAATAAAATGAAAATGAGGATATTAAATAGCACGCGTTTGACGAAGTATATAGTAGTGAAATGTGCGGAATATGTGTTGATCATCAGTTTAAAGAAGGTTTTTTACTATAAGATGGGGAATATGATTTGGTAGGAAAATCAGTTATTATAAAAGAAAAGTAATTTGTAGAAAAAAGCATTATATCTCATTATCACTCGAATCGCTTCGGAAATCCGAATTGATACGGTAATACTGAGGTATATCAGTATGTGCGGTAGTGTGGTATAGTCATTATACAACTGCACCTTTAAACTGGTATATTTTATACCGTAATACCGCAAGCACAAATATATCCCCTATAGAACTATACCCTTGCACTGGTACATTTTATACCACAATACCGCCATGGTAGAGCTACGACTTTTATCTCCTTTCGCCATAACCTTATATTAGGATATCGCTGTGGCGCAGATACAGCTCTAATGCCATGCTTATATTGCACTGGAACGCAAATATTAGTCAGTGATATCTAGCGGCGTAGCCAGGGTTTCTTGGTAGGGTGGGCTCAGCCCACCCCAGCCCACCTGTGGCTACGCCGCTATCTAGTGGATGTGTCATACGAAAAAGCCATGGTGGATGAATATGATAACTGATATCATGCAGAAAGAGAGCATGGAAAACATACGAGAAAAGGACATAAGAAGAGTGAAAAAGGTTGCGAAACAACAAAGGGAATAAAATATGTCATAGAGAACTTGAAGAATATAGTGAACTATGAAAGACACATATTAGCACATACTGACGAAATTGGACTAACTAGCAATGAATAACCATTAAAAATTTCCATTCAAAACTTTTACTTTTTTAAACTATATGATGTAGTATTTTTCCTATCTCTTATGGTAAGTTTTCTCAAAAACATAAAAATTGTTTCTAGGTGGGCTCAAACACTTTTAGGGTGGGCTCAAACATTTTTAGGGTGGGCTCAGCCCACCCCAGCCCACCTCTGGCTACGCCGCTAGTGATATCCTAGGCTTTGATTTAGTTGGGAATAGGTATGTATACCGTTTTGACTGCCGTAATGTGTGAAGATTTCTGGTGCATATGAAATCCTTGATATCGGGCATTGACGCGTTTGCTTCTTGTCTTCCTGAACTAAAGTTATTAATCGATTTTGTCGACTTAAGTATTTTTTTTCGGATTTGTCGCAAAATGAAATTCCCCATTAGCTCCTTTTTACTAGTAGATCGGTAGATGCCGGTAGACCAGTAAGAAACCAGTAGACCGGCTGGTCGGGTCCGGTCTAACTTTTTCAGACCGGTTCCATCTATCAGGTACTGACAGCACTTATTCTAATTTTTTTCTTTAATCATGGCAGCAGCACATTCTCAAGCTCGATGGATATTTCGAATTTTCAACGAATAAAAAAGTATTCATCTGATTTTTTCTTCGATTATGCGTCATTAAATATGTCTATGTAAGAATTATTTCTTCTTGTCTATATAGGTTTTCCATTAAATATACCAAAATTTTGTTTAAAATCTGTTTGGAATCGAAATGGAATTACTTTTACTGGTCAATCAAAAATTGGTTTAAATACTACAAGTATTTTTATAAATGAAAAAAATTTAATTTATTCTCTCAATCGAGAGCAAAAACAAATCTTAATTTGGAATGAATCTAATATTCAACCACCTATAATTATTCCTTCTTATTTCTCTGATTCAAATTCTCTATTTGTTGCTTTAAATGGTGATATTTACATTGATAATGGAATAAATGGTGAAATAAAGAAATGGATCTTGAATACCGAAATATTTACCGATGAAATGAATGTTTATTCATCTTGTTTTGGTTTATTTATCGATAGAGAGGATCATCTATATTGTTCAATGCCTAAGCATCATCGAGTCATTAAACGAAATTTGAATGGACTTATTCAAGCATCGATTTTCGTAGCTGGCACAGGTAAGCAAGGATCAACTCCAGATAAGTTAAATAATCCACGTGGAATTTATGTTGATACGGAGCTCAATACATTTGTAGCAGATTGTAGAAATAATCGAATACAAAGATTTACATGGAAAGAAGCGTTGGGTAAAACAGAAGTAGGAGATGCATCATCAGCACAACATCAATATCCACTTTCATGTCCAACCGGTATTACATTTGATTCTCAACAATTTTTATTCATTGTTGATTCATATAATCATCGTATTCTTCGTTCAGGACTAAATGGTGTTCATTGTGTTATTGGATGTGATGGAATTAGTATAAAATTTAATCAATTATCATTTCCATCTAATCTTGCTTTTGATAGTTTTGGAAATATGTTTGTTGTTGATTCTGGAAATAATCGAATACAAAAATTTCATTATTTGAAAAATTCTTGTGGTAATTACAAATCTCAATGAAAATATATGTAAATTCTTTTTTTACATTTATTTATTTTTAGATATGTCATCTGTTATTAAACGGACATTTTTATCACCATTGACGAAAGATAGTCAATTATATTCTCAAAAATGTGATTGGGAAAGTTTTTATTATCAGTCATTTGAAATAAAAGTACAAGAAAGTCGTTATTATTCAATATGGAGTCATGCTGAGATCGATACATATGGTTATATTTACGAAAAGAATTTTGATTCACTTAATCCAAATGATAATCTACTTTTTAAAGATGATGATGATGATGACGGTGACGATGACGATGACGATGATGATAATGAACAATTTAAATTTGAACTTCCTCTTTATAATGATACAACGTATATATTGGTTGTCACGACATTTTATCCAATGAAAATTGGAAACATTACAATTTATATATCAGGATTGATGAATATGAATATCAACCGTTTGAGTAAGTAATTAGTTAAAAAGTGGATACATTACTTTAATCGATCGCTGTGCTTATAGGGTAGAGAGATCATCTTCTAGAAACTTTTGAAAATATACATCAATCGATTTAGTTTGTAATTTTAATTCCAAAATATACTTTTCTATCGAAACTTTACCTGAAAAAAGCTCAAAATGTGCAAAATCAGCATTCAGAAACGAAGTTATCTAGATATGCCTCAGAGGACCTATGATTTTTCAAAGTTCTATCTTTGTTGCTTTTTAATCCTGAAAGATACACACACTAATAGTCATTGAAATTATATCATTTTTATTTAACAGGCACACCAATAAATATTCAATCTAGTTATCCATCTCAATTCACAATAAATAGTCGAAAATACTGTCGTGATTATAAAAAACCAAGTTATTATTATGAAACATTAGAAATTAATGTTAAAAAAACAGGTTCATATGTTCTTTGGAGTAAAAGTGAAATCGATACATATGGTTATCTTTATAAAGATGAATTTAATCCATTACAACCATTTGGTAATTTAATAGCCCATCATAGTGGGCATTGTAATCAAGGACAATTGAAATTCGATAGAACTTTTGATGAAAATACAAAATATATCTTAGTTGTAACAACATATTATCCAAATGCTACAGGAAATTTTACTATATTCATATCTGGTGAAAATAATGTTACTATGAATTATTTCCGTATGTGCATATATTAATAATTAAAAGGATACAAATCTTCTTTAATTGATCTTTTTTTAGATTCAAAACAACGAAGTTGTTCAATTGGAGATCGGTGTCATTTTTATTCAACAACAATTGGTTTACCTTTAGATGATATTTTACGTGGTGAAATTCGATCAGATGTAACATTATCTGTTCAGTCAATTTCAATAAAAATAAGTTCTGCTGTTACAATCATTATGTTTATTGTTGGATTCGTAAATAGTTTGTTTTCTTTTTTAACATTTAAAAGCGCAGAAGAACGGCAAACTGGATGTGGATTATATTTATTTACATTATCAATTACTTCTTTTATGACATGCTGTATGTTTTTAGTTAATTTCTGGTTTGTTTTACTTACGGAAATTCATGTCTTGACTGGCCCTTCAGTACTTCGTGGAGGTTGTTTAGTTATCGAACCTCTTCTTAAACTTTTTCTCTATTGTGATACTTGGTTAAATGCTTGTGTTGCGATTGAACGATCAGGACGAGTTTACAGTGGAGTTCGTTTTGATGAAAAGAAGAGTAAACGTATTGCTCAATGTATTATCTTTATTTTACCATTGTGTATTATGGCTAGTCTTATTCATGAACCTTTACATCGCAATATGTTTGAATACACAACTGAAATTAACAAAGCTTATGTTAATAAAAGTAATAGTCCCTTATTAAATGTGAAAAATAAGACAATGATCAATACAATTTATCAAAATACAACTGAAGGACATGTCTGGTGTGTAATTCATTATTCGTCTTCTGTTCAAAATTATAATACTGGAATATTATATTTTCATCTTATAATTCCATTTCTTGCTAATTTATTTTCAGCTTTATTTATTATTTTTAAAACTGCGCGTCAACGATCATCAGCACAAACTCATCAATCTTTTCGAGAACATCTTCGTCAACAATTGCATAAACATCAACATTTGATTATTAGTCCAATTGTCTTACTTATTTTAACAATACCACGTTTAATTATTTCATCATTACCTGGTTGTATACGAACATCAAAGAATATTTGGTTATATCTTATTGCTTATTTCTTTTCATTTACACCATCGATATTCGTCTTTATTATTTTTGTCGTACCGTCGAGTTTATATATGAAAAGATTTAAAGGATCTTTTAATATTTGTCGATGTCGAACTGATAAAAAAGCAAAAGGTAATTAATCTTGAATGAACAATAACTTTCACGTCAGCTTTATATTGTTTGTATTTTGCTTTTGCAAATTTCCCTTCACGTTTAAAGTGTTGGTGTGTGCTATCTAATAAAATATGGATTTTATCTTAATTAAAGATTCGTATAACTATCTGTTTTACGATCAATTTCACTTAAAATTAACGCATAAATTATTTCTCGAGATGCTAGGAATCGAACTGTGTATTCTTTTCTTTCTTTATCTAGTGACGTCATTTGACATATATATGTTTCTTTCCTTCTTGGTATATTCCAAGGGGGAAAAAAGCGGATCCTCACGGATCCTAAAAGATCCTAGGATCCATGAGGATCTTTAAGGATATGGGGATCTTTGAGGATATGGGGATCTTTGAGGATCTGACGATCCATCAGGATCTGGTAAGATCGACAATATTGTTGATTCCGTCGCACTATAATAGTGTATTATTAGATCGTCAATTTGTCTGAGAAAACGACGACATACAACATATATGACCATACGTGATAAGAGCGTTAATCGTTTATTCCTTCTGGTGGTATCGTTGGTAATTTATATCTGTTTTCTCTCATCTAACGGGTGTCAAAGAATAAATGAGCCTCTCCGTATTTTCCATATATTTCACTCATATCTCAATACATACGAAAAAGTTTTTTTATCCAAAGATTCGTCGTTAAATTCTCTACAAAACCTATATATTTTTATTATCTTCAATAATCTCCATCATGTTGAGCCATACGATACAATCGATTCGTCCAAGAATTACAACTTTCAAACACAACATCTTTTCGAATTTTTTTCACAGCTTTTTTTAATTCTTGGATTAGTGTTGTTTTAGATGTCACTTTATTCCAATTGATGACCTTTACAAATTCATCCCAAATACAGTAATCCAATGGGCTGAGATCAGGACTGTTGGGTGGCCAATGGTCTTGTTAAACTAAATGGCACACGATTTTCATATTCGTATGCAGTATGCGTTGCGAAATCACGGATTAGAAAATAGCAACTTCATAATATATAAAGAAACAATATTATTCTTTGATTCACTCTTAAAAGTATCGTCAAAGAAATTACCGCCTAACTTTGTTCTCAAAATGCGTTTTAATTATCTCATACAACATTACGTGTAAAAAAACGGCTACTTTATCAATGTTCAGAATATGAACCATATGTCATAATCAGATTTTAAAAATAAATTTTATAAATTCAATCTCGACATTTTATTTTCGCGTTTGAATCATTTTCCTGATCAACCGTTCTTGAGATCATAGCGTCACAAAATCACAAACTTGAATGCGTACATCGAGAAAGAAATGAAGAAAGAAAACTCGAATCGGACTACATTAATGCGGTGCGAAAGGTTTGGCACTGCATCAACAAGAGGATAACTAGCATTTGTTGCAATACCACACTGATTATTGTTATTACGACTCATCCATATGTATCCGTTTAATCCCCATGAATCACCCCAGGAATTTTTTGCAATGTAATAATCTTGTTTAAATGTACCATTGATAAGTGTATCATATCCAACAAGAAAGAAAGGATGATCTAGTTCTGTTTTTGAACAATTTGGATAATTATAAACACCTTCCGAATAGAATATAAAAGATGAATGACTAGCGTCAACAGAAACTGCTATAGGACCTACAGTAGCCAGAGCAATTTGCAATGCAGTTTCATTTCCCGATGGAATATCAACAAAACCCTATGATAAAAGAAAAGACTAAATATGAAAAAGATATGAAATTAATGTAGAATACTGACCGTAACGGTAGCACCGACATTAGTTCGATTAAAACGGCATTCACCTTCCATAGCTTCATATGGATAGCTTACTTCTGTATCTACTCCCTTGTTATCTTTAATATATTGATAAGAAGCCTCCATTGTTCCTCCATTGCATCCTTCATTGCCATATTTATCAGAACAATCCATTATATTCTGTGCTGATAGACGTACCAATTTACCAGTTTTGAGAAAATGTTGCCCTTCCAGAGCACCTTTCGATGCGAATGCGTAGTTGGAAGCACATTGACCTTGCGTTTCAATCAATGACAACACTGCTCCCTTTTCAGTCCAATCTATAAAAATCCAAGTATGTATGAAAGAATTTCTCTACTCTTTTACACGATAAATATCTTAAAAGTACACACCGATAGCATCTGGTATAACTACATTTGATGGTGGAAGATATGTATGTCGATGAAATGTTTTAGAAACTTTCGTAGCTATATTCGTTTTAGATCTTCTGACCATTTTTCTGAGAAATTCTTCATGTGTCTAAATGAACGAAATACTTCTTTATGTGAATTACTTGATTATATAAGCATAGACATACCATATCAGCAAAGTTGTTTACTTTAAGTGTATACGTGTGCAAACCGAGGTTAGCTTCATAATTATGACGGTTAATTTTTGCTACATTATCTTCGAAAATGATACGACTAAAGAAATAATCAATCCTCATTACTTGTGACTTTTAATTTTGTTTCTTACCGATGTTGTTCTTCTTTAGCATCGATATATTGCTTATCATAACGACGTTTAAACGAATTCCAACTGATTGATTGTGATTGTTGGCCAGCTGCTTGGACAATAATTAATACAGCAAGAAAATAGTGAAAAAGATGCATATTAACAGAGCTATTCTTAATCAAAAGATGATAAGAAGAAAAATTATCAAATATACACATGCATATATATATATATAACGATAAGCGTTGCAGCATCATTCTTGTCTATCATTGCATTGTCATCGCAGTTGCTCTGTGTAACGAAAAAGATGATATGATGAATAAAATAATGTTTCGTTACTGCTGCAGTATCTCATCCTACTTCGATCGTGTTACTCTCCAGTTGTGTCGTGTATAATACAGAACACAAGGATAATATTGTGAAAGAAGAAAACCTTCATTAGTGTGCCTATTGGCACACTCTGTATTTTTTTAAACTAACATTTAGGTACATACTCTTGCAATTCACTCTCCCATTTTCAAAAATTGACTTTTATGATTTTATTTCAATTAAAATATTTCAATATTGAGAAGAAATATTATCTAAAGCTCTTAAATAAACTTTTTTCCCAATAATATTCGTTAGTCTAAAACGTGAATAAGGAGAAAATAGCCATTCTGCTTCCATTGCAAAACATGAAATATTAGCAATATTTCTAACTTGTTGACATCCACTTGGAATTTGAATCTTCAATGAAGGATTACCAAAGCCGATTCCTGTACCTAATGCTGTACTCGTTGATGTAAATCCTGGAAAGTGAAATGCTTTATTTTTAGTAAAAACCTGTCTTTGTTGTTCATTAAGATTTATTCCACGAAATACAATTATATCGTCTGGATGTTCAATATTACATAGGGTAGTCAATAAATTCTCGGAATTTTCTATATCTCTCTCGAACAATTGTCATTCCTCCGTTTTTTTGCATTATATATTCGAGTTAGTTGGTGTGATATTATATAGAAAGTTTCATCATACTAGCTGATTCTCTTGATATCCTATTGAGATAAATGTTGAGTAAAAAA